AAAGCCAAGACAATGCAGGAGTGGCTTCGGGACAAGTCTCTGAATGTCCTTGAGTGGCCCAGCCAGAGCCCGGACTTGAACCCAATCGAACATCTCTGGAGAGGCCTGAAAATAGCTGTGCTGCAACGCTCACCATCCAACTTGACAGAGCTCCTCAAATACAGGTGTGCCAAGCTTATAGCGTCATACCCAATAATACTCAAGGCTGTAATTGCTGCCAAAGGTGCTTCAACAAAGTACTGAGTAAAGGGTCTGAATACTTACACTACCGGTAGTGAATGTCAATGTGATATTTCAGCTTTTTATTTTTAATAAATTAGCAAACATTTCTAAAAACCTGTTTTTTCTTTGTCATTATGGGGTGATGAGGGGAAAAAACAATATAATCAATTTTAGAATAAGGCTGTAACCTAACAAAATGTGGAAAAAATCAAGGGGTCTGAATACTTTATCGATCCATTATCCCTGCACATTGTAAATATGGTACTGGAACTGACACTTACCATGTTTTTCTTATTTTTATATCTAGTGTGTTTTTGTTCTACCTTGTTATTTGTAGTATTACATTGTTATTGATTACTGCATTGTTGGGGTTAGGGCTTGCAAGAAAGGCATTTCACTGTACTTGTGCATGTGACATTAAAACTTGAAACTTGACACCCCAACACACACACACATACAATTTACGCCCACACACACATAACATGCTCACACATGCATACAGATGCCACACACATTCACACACGCACACACACACCACATACGCTGCTGCTACTGTCTATTCTCTACTGTTGCCTAGTCACTTTTTAAAAACCTAGAGTCGATGTCCCCGCCCCCGTGGAAATCTAATTAGCATAATATAAAAATCCCCATAAAAATCTGTCTGTTTAAGCTAGAGATATGGGCTGTGTCTCAATCCACCGCATCCGCCGATGTAGACCTTCCGCATTTGCGGTAAAAGGTGGCGGAGCGATGTTTGTCAGACCAGGAGACATCCCGAAAATCAGTCTCCTCTCGAAAACGTCTGTAGCATCCGAACTATTATGAACCCTCTATGGAAAGAGGAAAGATGAGACTCTCATGAAGACAATGGTGTTTTCTGTTTTGCTCTACGACCCCAACAAGCGTCACGGGACTCATCTGATATTGGTACAGCCGATCTGCCAACTTCTGTCTGTAGCGTCAGAACAGTTTGGGCTACACACTAATATGACCCCTCTATGGAAAGCTGAGACTCTCATGAACACATACCTGTTGTTTTGCTCTAGGACACCCACAAGCCTCACAAGACTCGTCTGAAGGTAGCCCGGTACCAGTAAAACATTTTTATGGAAGTATATAGGGAAGTAGTTTAGTGCCTAAAAAAAATGATTAAATATGTCTCTATTTAGAAAATAAAAACATTCTAATCTTTCTTATATCTCTCAGATATAGGACAGACACTTCAAAGCAAACTTTGTTTTGATAAATGTTTTGACTATCTGTTTTTCCATGTATGAATCTGTTATTCATTGCGTTTCTATAGGCTAATAGCAGTAAGGCCAAATTCAGTGTTTCATAAAATAAAATAAATGTGATACCTAAAGGTGTCCTACAATTCAAAATCAAATATCTAAATGATCCTTGGTATTACCATCTTAAAACAATTCCTTATGCAGTGGCGTAAATTGCTTAAGTAGAAAAACTTTACAATTCTACTTAAGAAAGTTTTTTGGGGGATCTGTACTTTACTTTACTATTTATATTTTTACTTTTACTTTTACTTCACTACATTCCTAAAGACAATAATGTACTTTTTACTCCATACATTTTCCCTGACACCCAAAAGTACAGGACAGGAAAATGGTCCAATTCACACTTATCAAGAGAACACGTGGTCATCCCTACTGCCTCTGATCTGGCAGACTCACTAAATACAAATACATCGTTTGTAAAAGTATAGATGTCTGTTGGCCTCTGGCTATCCGTAAAAAAATGGAACAAGAAAATGGTGCCGTCTGCTTTGCTTAATATAAGGAATTATAAATTATTTTTACTTTTGATAATTAAGTATATTTGAGCAATTACATTTACTTTTGATACTTAAGTATATTTATAACCAAATACTTTTAGACTTTTACTCAAGTAGTATTTTACTTGGTATTTATTCCTCCTGTCACTATTTCTATTTTTTTGTTGTTGTCTTTTTTATATTTGATTTAAAAAATATTTGATTTGATTTTTTTACCCCCTTTACTCCCCAATTGGTAGTTACAGTCTTGTCCCATCGCTGCAACTCCCGTACGGAATTGGGAGAGGCGAAGGTCGAGAGCTGTGCGTCCTCCCAAACACAACCCCGCCAAGCCGCACTGCTTCTTGACACAATGCACGCTTAACCCGGAAGTCAGCCGCACCAATGTGTCGGAGGAAACACTGTACACCTGGCGACCGTGTCAGCGTGCATGCGCCCGGCCCGCCACAGGAGTCGCTACAGCGCGATGGGACAAGGACATCCCGGACGGCCTAACCCGGACAACGCTGGGCCAATTGTGCGTCGCCTCATGGGTCTCCCGATCGTGGCCAGCTGCGACACAGTGCCTTAGACCGCTGCGCCACTCGGAAGGCTATATTTGATCTTTAACTCTACATTGTTGGAAAAGGACCCATAAGTAAGCATTTCATTTTTGTTTACGAAACGTGAGAAATCAAATTTCACTTGTTTTTATTTCATTTGATTTGAAAATGTTGCAGTTTTACAGCTAATTTCCTGTAATTATTTTTTTTAAATGTGCAATGGCGTATGACGTGTTCATATGCTATCTGGGGACCTGCAGGGATGTGTGGTAAGCCAGTGATTTGTAGTCTTGCATGATGTCTACTTTGATGTTAATTAGCATTTTTTAATCTGAATATATTGATAAAAGTCACCTTGTCCGTGAGAGATTTATATAGTTATCAAAAAATTAAGCCAGAGAAAGCCTACATGAAAACACAGACCTTGTTTGAAGTGGTTCTAAAATCCCCCATGGGAGAAATGGATGGTGAAAAAATGATTTGAACCCTTTCCATGTTTGACCGCTAGGGAAATTATTCTGGAATGCACATATTGCTGAAATTGAATGGACCTAAGGGTCCCAGAGATAAAATGTAGCATAGTTTTGTTTGATAAAATCAATTTTAATATTCAAATGTAGGAACTGGGTTCTACAGTTTGAACCACTGCTGTCTCTGGCTCCACACCCACCCCGCCCGGCCATCTAGATGTGTGAAAGTTAGTGTATAAGCTAATGATCCATCATGTATGACAGTCCTGGGAGTGTGTAAAGTGACATTTTGAATTACCATATAATTTTTGTATGTTCTCTATAGTTATGTACTTGAAATTGTATCAATTGACCAATTCGGCACATTTGGGCAGACTTGATACAAAATAGTCCAGTATTGCAATGCTTCACTGGATCAATCTGAAACTTTGCACACACACTGCTCCCATCTAGTGGACAAAATCTAAATTGCACATAACTGCAATATTATATTGTAGCCTTTCTCTTGCATTTCAAAGATGATAACAAAAAAACGTTTTTTTTGTGTGTTTTTTTTTTATTATCTTTTACCAGATCTAATGTGTTATTCTCCTACATTAATTTCACATTTCCACAAACTTTAAAGTGTTTCCTTCAAATGGTATCAAGAATAGGCATATCCTTGCTTCAGGTCCTGAGCTGCAGGAAGTTAGATTTGGGTATGTCATTTTAGGCGAAAATTGAAAAAAAGGGTCTGATCCTTAAGAGGTTAATTCTTCATACACAAACACAAATATTTTAACTCTGTGCCTAAATGCTATATTTTTATACTTGAGCTTGAATATCTATTAAAGTCTATAGAATTCCCCTACCCTCCTCTCCTTTCCTCCTCCCTTGTCTCCCTGCAATAATATTCTGACAACAAGTGGATAAGAAGAAGTAACATGGAGAGAGGGATACTATGTTAGCTAGCTGGCTATGGCTATCCAACACTGGAACTCTTCCAAGTCAAGGTAAGCTTTTGGTTCTATTAATTTATTGCCACCGGGCCCATCGGTGTAACTGCTAAACTGCTTTCTGACTTAACACTGTACTGCATAATAGTAGCTAGTGGGTTTACTAACACGTTAGTTCTAGTAGCTATGTTGACTATGACGTGACAACGATGTAGGCTGTGTGTAGCGGTTAGCGGTCATAATATGAAGGTTTGGCTTGGAAAGGTTTTTTCGCCTGGTCACAGACAGCTGATGTGTTGTGCACTGAAGTCCACAAGCGAAGGGAAAAGGTGAGAGGAGGAGAGAGCTTATATACTTGCGATAAGGAATTATATATACAACGAGCAACGTGATCACGCTGTTTTTATGTGGCTGCTATGAAAGTGAACTACTGTGTTTGCGTGTGATCATGGGTGTATTCATTCCGCCAATTCTGTTGAAAAACATTTCTTAAATGGAACAAAACAGAGATAAAAATACCTGAATTCGTCCAATAGAAATTCACATTTGCAACTGTTGGACTAATGATTACTCCCTAGATCAGCTAGATGCAGGCAAGAGTGTGCAAGGCGGTATTGAATGTGGCACTGTCTGTACTGTCTGTCACCTTGAGTACTCAAAATTCTCTACACTGTAAACGTTCATTCATATGCTAGGTTGTAGTAACCTCATGATGGGTACAGGGGAAATTCGAGTATCATGTAGTAGCCTAAACCTGTCGATGTTCCATTGAGCTGGGTGAATGGAATAGGAATGACTGTCATCCAATATGCTGTAATAGAAATAAGGCCATGATCATAACAAAAATAATAATCCTCCCTAATCTGAAATGGCACCAACCGCCACTGGTTGGGAGGGGATGAGGGAAGACTAGAGAAGAGAAGAAGAGAGGAGAGGAGGAGGATACAAGATTGAGACGCAGCCCAGGGGCAGTCTCTTTGCAGCCCAAGCCCCGTTTTAAAACACGCACTCACGCACGCGCACATCCTCCCTTCCTCCAGTCTCCTCCGTGTCTAGAAGCGCCGTTAAACCGACAGGCTCCCGCCCATGGCACGCGACGGATGGGATTTTTGCATGCTTGATCTGTTCCCATCATTATAGCTGGTGTTATTTTGTTGATTACGGCAGATCGATCGCTTTGATTGGCAGGTAAAATCGGATTATTTGATTTCATTTTATTATAGACACGTTTATAAAAACATTGCATTTGAAAATCAACTACGGCTATAGGCCTGAGTGTTAAGGTCGTCCGGGAAGGATAAATAATAATGTATATCCTATAGGGGCTGATAAGCACATTTCATGTAAATAATTCAAGCACATTGTTTTGCTACGGGCGCTCTTTGTCTCATTCCCCTTCGTGCGTATTTATCGACGGAAAGCCGTATGACGTGATTATTATAGTCTTATTGGATAGAGAGCCTATAATATGATAGGCTTACATGATGTATTACTAATACACTATAACCTAAATGAGCCTATGTTCATCTGGTGCGTCGAACATGTTTATCTATTTTGAGGCTATATTGTTATAAAGCTTTATCATAGCAAATATGACTCCATGAAAGCGACACCATACTGTATCTTTAATCAGACAAGGGCACCAGCCAGCCCACTCGGTGATGATGCATGCTGCGCATGTTTACGCGGCCCCTCTATGGCGAGCTCCACGCGTTCAAACCAGGCCAGCCATCTGACCGTGCCTAATTAGACCTTGTGTGTGTTTGTGCGCTCGCGCGCGTGTGTGTGTGTGAGAGAGAGAGCGAGAGAGAGAGTAATGTTTACTGTTAATTTCTGATTGTTTATTTCACTTTTGTTTATTATCTATTTCACTTGCTTTGGCAATGTAAACATATGTTTCCCATGCCAATAAAGCACAGAGAGAGAGAGAGAGAGAGAGAGAGAGAGAGAGAGAGAGAGAGGTTTTGGGAAGTGGCCATGTAGGATGTGGTTTTAAAGGAAATTCCTCTGTGAGCAGGGTTGGGAACTTGAGTCTGTCAACAAGGGCACTGTCCACAAACAAACAACCCTTAACCCCTAACCTGTAAGCACTTATGTAGATCTGAACAGATTGGATAGGTATAAGCAATGTAGCAAAAACAATCTAACTTGCCTATAAGAGGGCAAGGTGGAGCTATTACCCTCTAGACTAGACCCCATCTATAGTTTACTGTAGCGTCTGCGGCCTGCCTGCTCCCTATAGATCTCTTAACCCGGATCCATTCTCAGAGCAACAGATCCCAGGCCCAATCCCAATAGATCAATATTAATCTGCTCACACAGTTGGCAGAGAGCTCAGAGCTGCCACACACTGCTGGTTACACACTGTATCAATGTATGTGTCTGTGTGTGTGTTTGTGTGAGAAAGGCGGAAGGAGGGAATGGAAGAGAAAGAGGGGAAGAGACAAAGGGAGAGGGAGAGAGAAAGCGAGAGGGAGAGAGAAAGCGAGAGGGAGAGAGAAAGCGAGAGGGAGAGAGAAAGCAGGAGGGAGAGAGAAAGCGAGAGGGAGAGAGAAAGCAGGAGGGAGAGAGAAAGCAGGAGGGAGAGAGAAAGCAGGAGGGAGAGAGAAAGCGAAAGAAAGGCCTCTCCAAAGTGATGTTCCCCAGTGAGGGGAGTGTAACCGTGGTGATGGCTGGCTGGGCGTCGGCCTGACTGGCAGGACTGATAAACAATTCAGTTAGAGAGAGAGAGAGAGAGAGAGAGAGAGAGCGGGAGGAGGCAGGAGAGGGGGAGGGGTTGGGTGAAGGATGGAGGTGGGTGCCTGAATCTTTAAGGAATGTACTGGTGTAAGAAATATGGCAAACAAGTGCACTTCAGAGAGAAGGTGGGGCAAACCAGAACCTAGCCGGGGAGAGGGAGAGAAAGGGAGGAGGGGGGAGTAAGAGATGGAGGGGGAGGGAGAGTAAGAGGAAGAATAGATCCTTCAGCAGAGGATTTTATCCCTCTAACCCCCACTCTCCTCCTTCACTCTCTCTCCCTCTTTCTCCCTCCTCTCTCTCTCTCTCTCTCTCGATCTTTCTCTCTTTCTTTAACCCCTAGAGCCAATGTCCGATCCCCAGTGCAAATCGAATTAACATAATACAAAAATCCCCATCAAAATCCGTCTGTTTAAGTTAGAGATATCTGTTTTGTTGCATTGGATGCGTCTCAATTTACCGCATCTGCCGATGTTGCCCTTTCGCATCTGCGGTGAAAGGTGGCAGAGCTACAGCGGTGTTTGACAGACCATGAGACATCACGAAAATTGGTCATCTCACGAAAACGTCTGTAGCGCCCAAACGGTTTGGCCTACAAAATATTATGACCCCTCTATGGAGTCTCTCAAGAACACGTACAGTACCAGTCAAAAGTTTTGACACACCTACTCATTCAAGGGTTTTTCTTTATTTGTACTATTTTCTACATTGTAGAATAATAGTGAAGACATCAAAACTATGAATAACACATATGGAATCATGTAGTAACCAAACAAGTGTTAAACAAATCAAAATATATTTTAGATTTTAGATTCTTCAAAGTAGCCACGCTTTGCCTTGATGACAGCTTTGCACACTCTTGGCATTCTCTCAACCGGCTTCAGCTGGAATGCTTTTCCAACAGTCTTGAAGGGTTCCCACATATGCTGAGCACTTGTTGGCTGCTTTTCCTTCACTCTGCGGTCCAACTCATCCCAAAAGTCGGGGGATTGTGGAGGCCAGGTCATCTGATACAGCACTCCATCACTCTCCTTCTTGGTCAAATAGCCCTTACACAGCCTGGAGGTGTGTTGGGTCATTGTCCTGTTGAAAAACAAATTATAGTCCCACTAAGCGCAAACCAGATGGGATGGCGTATCGCTGCAGAATGCTGTGGTAGCTATGCTGGTTAAGTGTGCCTTGAATTCTAAATAAATCACAGACAGTGTCACCAGCAAAGCACCCCCACACCATCACACCTCCTCCTCCATGCTTCACGGTGGGAACCACACATGCAGAGATCATCCGTTCACCTACTATGCGTCTCACAAAGACACGGCGGGATTGGAACCAAAAATCTCAAATTTGGACTCATCAGACCAAAGGACAAATTTCCACCGGTCTAATGTCCATTGCTCATGTTTCTTGGCCCAAGCAAGTCTCTTCTTCTTATTGGTGTCCTTTAGTAGTGGTTTCTTTGCAGCAATTCGACCATGAAGGCCTGATTCACACAGTCTCCTCTGAACAGTTGATGTTGAGATGTGTCTATTACTTGAACTTTGTGAAGCATTTATTTGGGCTGCAATCTCTGAGGCTGGTAACTCTAATGTACTTATCCTCTGCAGCAGAGGTAACTCTTGGTCTTCCTTTCCTGTGGCGGTCCTCAGGAGAGCCAGTTTCATCATAGCGCTTGATGGTTTTTGTGACTGCACTTGAAGAAACTTTCAAAGTTCTTGAAATGTTCTGTATTGACTGACCTTCATGTCTTAAAGTAATGATGGGCTGTCGTTTCTCTTTGCTTATTTGAGCTGTTCTTGCCATAATATGGACTTGGTCTTTTACCAAATAGGGCTATCTTCTGTATACCTTGTCACAACACAACTGATTGGCTCAAACGCATTAATTAACTTTTAATAAGGCACACCTGTTAATTGAAATGCATTCCAGGTGACTACATCATGAAGTTGGTTGAGAGAATGCCAAGAGTGTGCAAAGCTGTCATCAAGGCAAAGGGTGGCTACTTTGAAGGATCTCAAATCTATTTGGATTTGTTTAACACTTTTTTGGTTACTACATGATTCCATATGTGTTATTTCATAGTTTTGATGTCTTCACTATTATTCTACAATGTAGAAAATAGTACAAATAAATAAAAACCCTTGAATGAGTAGGTGTGTCCAAACTTTTGACTGGTACTGTACATGTTGGTTGTTTGGCTCTAGGACGAACACAAGCCTCACAAGACTCGTCTGAAGGTACCCCGGTACAAGTTGAAAAAATGAATGGAAGTATATATGGAAGTATATATGGAAGTAGTTTAGTGCCTAAAATAAAGGGTTAAATAGGTGTAAAAAAATATATTGTTTCCTGATCTTTCTTATATCTCTCAGATATAGGACAGACACTTCACAACAAACTTCCTTTCTATTTTTTTCTGGACTATCTGTTGTTCCATGTAGTGAATCTGTTATTCAATAAGTTTCTATGGGCTAATAGCAGTAAGGCCAAATTCAATGTTTCATCAAATACTTTTTGAATATATATTTTGTTATACCTTAAGGGATCTTAAAATAAAAAATATCCTTGGTATGACCATCTTAAAACAATTCCATATGTTAGCTTTGCATGCCAAGGGAAGCCAGGCTTCCCCAAAAAATTGACAAAGAAAAATATTGAAAGAATCATATAAAATAATTTACCTTTTGTCTCTCTGTGTTTCATAATTTTCCTTCAGTTCGCAGGAGGTTGAATGTTTCTCACCGTAGAAAGCATCTGAGCGAGCGAAACAGCACCCCTCTGTCTCTGTATGTGTAGGCCATCTATCTGATGCTATCTGGTCAAAAAGAGTATGACATTGTTGCTGCCGGTAGCATTGAATGCAAGGGAAGCCAGTGAGCATTTGGCCTCCCTTAATTAAAAAAGTATAGAATAATTGCCAATCAGCGTTGAGCTAAACTGAATGAGCTCAACTGTGAATGGTCCTGGCGCACCAAAAAAAGGGTCAAGGGAAGCCAGTTTGGATTTGGCTTCACTCCAATCACATTACATCAACAGCAGTACGTCATTGACAGAAACATCTTGAATTGTTGCATCTCGTTATGCTTTGTGGACTTCACTGGACAGAAGTTGCTCTCCGGTTTTGTGATGAAACAGGTGTGGTTGAATTTATTCTGCCACTGTGTCTTCTTATTGTCTCGGCCTTAGGCCTATATATCACGGTCGATAGGCATATGAACTAACAGGTTATAGAGTAAACAACCCAATTATGACAACACATAGGTTGTAATATGGCTTTTTTTTCTGGCTAGACTTCCCCAGTGATTTTACCCACGCAACGCTACTGAAGATAATCTTTGTTTTCATCACATACAGCCAGAGGGTGTGTGTGTGTGTCACACACTATGTCGAGTGACTATTGAGGGCACTGGTTTTGGGCAGTGTGAGTTGGATGTTGTTGTGAGGAGCTTGTGGGACGCAGTTCACAGTGGCAACAATATCCTCCATCAGAAAGAAGGGCTTTATGAATCTTGGTCCTTATCTACATCACTTCTACTTCTGAGTTGTTCTGAGTTGTTCCTCTCCTCCTAAACCTCCTCTCTTTTCTCTCTCAAAGCCATCTGGTTTAAACCACAGGAGGGATTTTCGCCATCATGCAGAAGGTAACACGTACACACACACACACGCACACACACACACATACGTCTTCCTCTGTGTAGTTCGAGGGAGGGGTTAGGTATGACTTATAATGTGTGTGTTTGTGTAGGTGGAGGGACGGCCAGCCCCAGGCAGCATATCCTCCTCCTTGCGGGGTCCAAGTGCTCCTGGCTCACCCAGCATCATGGTAAGACGAACACTCTCTCTCTCTCACACACACACACACACACACACACACACTGCACCAACACACTCTTTCTTGCTATCCTTCCAGGCCCGTGTGAATGACGAAGTGGTGGAGTACAGGGATCTTGCTGCTCTGCCCAGAGACAAAAGTATTCTACAGGTAGGGTCTGTGTGTGTTTGTGTGTGTGTGTGTATGTGTTTTTTGTGGGGTGTGTGTGTGTGTGGTTTATTGGTGCATGTGTGCATGCGTGTTTGAGATTCACCGCTGTCTGTGCTATTCTGCAGGTGGAGAGACCAGATTTGATGACCTACCAACCCCACCTCACCTTCTCACCGCTAGAAGCGCTGCGTACGCCCCGTAGAGAGGTACACACACACTTCGTGTTAGAGTAAGTAACTCATACAGGCTGTATAAAAAGGGAGGAGAGTGTGATGTGACTGTGTTCTCCTCTTCCTTCTTCAGAGATCCCTCTCTCCTTCCTCCATCTCTCCTCCTCCCTCTCCTGAGGTAAGACACTTCTGCGAACCCTCTCTCCTCTCCTTCTCTCCTCTCCTTCTCTCCCTCCCTTTATTTATCTTGTTGGGTAGGTCCTTCTTTTCATCCAGTTACCCAGCAGTATTACTCTCTTCCTCTCTTCTTCCTCTATCTTCTCTTCTAGGGAGTTCTCAGTCCCTTCTTCCTCTACTCTCTCTCTCTCTCCTCTTATCTCTCTCTCTAGAGGAGACTCCTCTCTCCTCTCCTCTCTACTCCTCTCTCTCTCTCTCTCTCTCTCTCTCTCTCTCTCTCTTCCTCTCTCTTCTCCTCTCTCTCTCTCCTCTCTTCTCTCTCTCTCTCCTTCTCTATCTCTCTCTCTCTCTCTCTCTCTCAGCTGAAGGAGTATAGAGAGGGGAGAGAGTCTCCAGGAGGCTCCACACTGCAGCTCCGAAAGACAGCCACCCCCCTACAGCAACACTTCCACAGGCCAGGTACACACTTGCACACACACACACATGCACACACACATCTACTTTTCTAATTCTGTGTTTTATTTTAGATAATGGTGCCAACATCTACAAGAAGCTGCCTAATTTTAAACAGGGTATGGTATATTTGTGTGAGTGTGTTTGATGTGTCTAAGAGTGTGTGTGTGTGTGTGTCTAATTTTTTCTCTGCCTGTCTGTAGAGGTCACCAAGCAGCACGTGATGGGCAGCATCATCCAGTCGTCTATGTTCCCAGCAGCTCAGAAACCAGACCCCAACCTGCCCTCAAAGATAGAGACAGAGTACTGGCCCTGTCCTCCCTCACTGGCTGCTATGGGTAACACATACACACACACACACACACCTGATTGGAGAGGTACTGGTAGTGTGTGGTCTGATCTCTCCTGTTGTTGCCACAGAGATCGAGTGGAGGAGGAAGAAGGAGGAAGAGGAAGAGGGGAAGGATGAGTTTGAAGACCTGACTGATGACGCCAAGACACTGCAGGAGCAGGAGCTCCATAAGGTAACTCTTCCCATTGATACCGTCTTCGTAATGTATTATGTAAGTGCTTTTATAACGCCTTTTCAGGTATGTATAATGCATTATAATGCACAACATATTATCATAGGAAGTGTAACCGTCTTCAATAATCAATATTTGTTGATTGATGGTATGTATGTCTGCATGCATGTGTTTGCTTGTGTGTGTGTGTGTGTGTGTGGCGTTGGTGTGCCAGATCAAGTCTAACCTGGGCAGGCTGATCCTGAAGGAGGAGAAGGAGGAGAAGGAGAAGGCTCTACTTGGCATTGGACGCAGGAAGACTCAGTCACTGCCAGACAGAACACACATGCACACCAGTAAGTTACAGTCCAATGTGAGTGTGAGTAAGAACCTGATTCTGATTGGTTGCTGATTGGTTGCTCTGATTACTACAGGTTCCTCCTTGAAGTCCTCCTCCCGCTCAGGTCTGACCAGGGTGAGTATGTGTCTTTGCGTGCGTTGCAGTAGGTCAACGTGTGTGTGTGTTTGTGTGCGTGATGACTTATGCGTGTTACCTCTGTGCAGATGCAGTCAGCAGAGTTCGAGGGAGATCAGGGCAGAACAGGTAAGCTAGTAGCATGTGTTACAAAAGCACTTGTTGTAGTGAAGTAGGGCCCACACAATAAATTTCGCCAAAATATATATATTTAAGTCTATATTTATGGCCTTTTATATGTATGAATATAACTATTTCCCTCTCTCCTTTTTCTTGTCTCTCCCTGTCGTGTTATGCAGCTGAAGAGGTAAGGGTAGTGTTAGGCCGAGATTCATTCCGATATGCGCTAGATCTGCGTTATAGCATGCTTGACCTTTTAAAGGCAATTTCTAATTGAGCCAACGACTGCAGCGGTTACCTTGAATGCGATCTCCAGGAACGCAGGCGGTAACATTGCTTTTAAAAGCTGCATTGTTTCCAAGCACGATCGGATTGAATCCCGGACGTATTTTCAAAGCGACTCTTCCCTCTGCTCAAGTCATATCTATCTACCTACAATGCATTTTTGATTTCACTAACGGTGTGTGTGTCTGTGTGTCTAGAATGGAGAGGCACCACGGGAAAGGATGGACAGAGGAAACTCACTGCCAAGTATGCTGGAACAGATGGTGAGCACTGGTGAACACGCATCACGCACGCATGCAAAGACAAAACCCCACTAAAATCACAGTGAGATTTCTTTAAGATACTAAATGCTCTATTGCATGTTTAAAAAACAATACCCAGCCAGCACTGTTTTCTCCTCAGATCTATCCATATGAAATGCTCATAGTCACCCATAGAGGGCGCTGCAAGCTGCCGCCGGGCGTGGACCGTACCAGACTGGAGGTGTGTGTGTGTGTGTATGTACATATGATGTCATATGTGTGTTACTACTGAAATGTGTGTGTTAGTTTGTGTGTGTGTGAATATGTGTTACTAAGTGTTTGTGTGTTCTCTCCTCAGAGACACCTGTCTCCTGAAGACTTTGAGCGTCTGTTCGGAATGCCCATCGCCGAGTTCGACCGCCTGTCGCTATGGAAACGAAATAATCTGAAGAAAAACGTTCAACTTTTCTAGCAGGAAGTGACCTTATCCGTCAGACAGGAAACGGGAACCGCTGCACTGCCTAACGAAGAATACCCCACAACACCAAACTATCACGCCCTAGCTAACCATATATCCATGTCACATTCTAACTCTAATCCTATATCATATTGTAGACATATTATTCTATCGGTATGTTATTTCGTATCCTCTAGTCGCCACTGACAAGCCTGACCCTGACTCTAACCCTAACCAACCCTATCATATGCAATGAGAATCTCCTAGTATCTACTGCCTCCCCACCCCCATACACACAGACACAAACGCCTACACATACAATAATTATCACTGCTTTTAATACACCCAGAAACTGGAAATATTATTTTCATGATAAATCATTATCAGTGATTTTTTTAAATGTGATTTATGATTGACCGATTGGGATCTTTGTCTTCTGTAATGTATTAGTTGTTTTATTCATGTTAATGTATTCCTGGTGTTAACCATGATTGAGGTTGACTCAGAGATTATTTATTTGAAAATGATTGATTTTATTTATTTGAATATGATTACATCTCTTAGTCCCGCAAAACAGTAGAGCCTTCTTTTTTTTTCTGTGGTTCTTCTCAAATAAAAAAAAAAAAGGTTCTAAAAGGTTGTGACCAGCAGGACATGCATGGCGTCAAGCACATCAGAAATTACTAACATTCCAATCCCACATCGAACCCAAGACCAGACCCATAACCCCTACCTCCCAACCCTACAGTGTATATGCTGAATTTAGAAAATGAATAAAATATATGAATAAAATAGTTGTTGTATTTTGTTTTAAATACAGCTAGGTTTTTTTGTAGTATGCTAAATGTATATAAAAAATGTTTTTCAACAAATTCTACGAGGTAACAAAATCGTTTCTTTTCAGTTTTTTATTGAATGGAGTGATACATCTACAGAAATCAGAGGCCTTGCAGTACAAGTACTTGACAAAAAACATATATTTTTTATTCAGCTATTAAGAAAAACCTTGATTAAACAATCTCTGTACATTCTGTGAGATATGTTGAGGAGCTGGAACAGAAGTCAGAAACAAAATGAGGCCCCGGTCCCCCTCTCCCACCCCCTCCACACCACGTCAACACCATTCTCTATTAACGCCCCCTCCACCCCCAATACCTCCACCCCCATCCAAAAACCCACACACTCCAAACAACCACTCGTCTCGCCTCTACTTAGTCATCATCCACCTACCACCATCCTCTCCACACACACACACACCTTTCACTCATACCTCTCTCTCTCTCACACACACACAATCTATTTTCTACTCCTCCACTGGTAACTGATTGACATCCTCAAAAAGAGACAACTCTCATCTTTACCTCACCCCTCCCCCTGGCTGATCTAGATATGACGCCTAATTCTACTTTTCGTAAAAATAAAAAATAATAAAAACAAAATCACATTGAGAGAAGGGAACATTTATAATGTACATATATAATATAAATGTAAATACTCTGTCACACTATCATTGGCATAAGAAAGGATGGATTTAACGCAATAGAGGTTCCAATCGATTTTTCTCGTTTTTTTTATTCAAGTGCTCTTGCTTGCTCTTTTTGGGTGGGACACGAACAGACACAGCAAATGTACTTTTAAACTTTATATCTTAGGCACCATAGCGTAGGTACTTCATATCTTAGATGAGTAAAGACCTTTATATGAGTTACAGCACAGGTCTTCCTTTGCCAAGCACACAAAGTAGTAACAGATAAAAATGTGATCTGAATATTATCCCAAATATCAACTCAAAATTACAAAATGGATTTGCCTTTTATTTAATATGGCAGTGATGCCCCAGCCTAGGGCCAGTCCACATAGCAATGTACATTGTAGATTGAATCGTCATGTATCATTTATAGAAATGTACACTGTAGATTTAATCATCATGTGTCATTTGTTCAGAGCCACTTTTAAACTGATGACATTAGATTCATTCTAGATGAAATAAATAAACATGGATGTTGGACTGATTCTCTGGAGGCCAAGTAAGAAAGACCCATCCTACTGCCCCTCAAAGAGAGAAGAGAGGGAGAGAAGGAGAAGAAGAGGGAGAAAAGAGAGGAGAGAAAGAAGAGATGAGGAGGAGAAGAAGAGAGAAGGGGAGAGAAGAGAGCAGAGGGAGGGAGAAGAGAGTGGAGAGCAGAGAGAGGGAGAAGAGAGAGGAGAGCAGAGAGGGGGAGGAGAGAGGGAGAGGAGAGCGGAGAGGAGAGAGGGAGAGGAGAGCAGAGAGGGGGAGAGGAGAGCAGAGAGGGGGAGAAGAGAGGAGAGCAGAGAGGGGGAGAAGAGAGGAGAGCAGAGAGGGGGAGAAGAGAGGAGAGCAGAGAGGGAGAGGAGAGCAGAGAGGGAGAGGAGAGAGAGGAGAGCAGAGAGGGAGAGGAGAGAGAGAGAGGAGAGCAGAGGAGGAGAGAGAGGAGAGCAAAGAGAGGAGAGCAGTGAGAGGAGAGCAAAGAGAGGAGAGCAGAGAGAGGAGAGCAGAGAGAGGAGAGCAGAGAGAGGGAGAAAAGGCACAAGAGAAAGGGAGAAGAGGGAAAAACAGAGGGAGACAGAGAGGTGGGCCAGGTGTCTAGGCCTGTGTGTTGGTCCCGTTCTTGTCGGGTGGGCCGCTGGCTGTAAGGTTGTTGGAAGGAGGATGAGCGTCTTGGCGGGGGGGCATCCTCTCATTGACCCTGTCCAGACCTCGGGCCTCCTCAAAGGACTGGATCTTATGCTGCGGGTTGAACCCTTGGATGGCTGGAGGAGAGAGATGTAGAGTTTAGCTTCAGTGCAGGAACCCAACACACACCACAGTTACAGGGTATAAGGAGGGTAAGGGGGATAAAACTCTAGGTTTGGTATGATGCTGGGTAAGGGTGGTATAGGGGTAAAGAGGAAGGATTAGGCTCCAGTTTAGAAGATACTAGGTAGTGGTTGGTAGGGGTCATAAGTAGTCTAATATGGTCATGTTTAGTCTCTAATACATGGACAACTAGTATAGTCTGATATTCTAGACTAGAGGGGTTTAAAATGCAAAAGGCACGCGCACATCTGAGCTATCTTTGTTGCAGGTGCATGGTAACAATTAAATAACATGAGGAAAAAGAAGAAACCCGCACTCTGCTCTTGCTAGTATCACTGTGATACTTTGACAGGGTTATCACTGTGATACTAGCAAGAGCAGTGTGCGGGTTTCTTCTTTTTACTCAGACTAGAGGGGTTTAGTTGTTAGATTTGGTGGTTAGAGGTAAGACACTTACTTCAAGAACATCAAGGCAGCATCGGCAAACAAACGAGAGAGAGAGAGAAAAAGAGGGAGTGGAGAGGAGCGAACTGGCATAAACAGTCTGATACTTTAAAGGTCAATAGCCTGATATTTTGTGTTACTAGTTAAGCTAACAAAAAATCTAGCATATGTTCCTATATGCTTATGAGAAACCCTGTTTACATGGTGGTTATGTAGATCAATACTGACTAAATGGGCAACATTTTACAAAACTGCACTTAACCCTGTCAAAAATACCAACACCCCCTAGCACCCCCGCCGAAATCGAATTAGCATAATAAAAAAGTTTACGCTAGAGATATGTTTTTTTTTTGCATTGGATACAACTCAAACCACCGCATCTGCCGACGTCGCACTTCCGCATCTGCAGTGAAAGGTGACAGCGCTAGAGCGGTGTTTGTCAGACCATGAGATATCCCGAAAATCTGTATTTTGGGCTACACACTAATATGACCCCTCTGTGCAAAGGTGAGACTCTCACGAAGATGTAAATGTAGGTTGTTTTGCTCAGGGATGCCCACAGGCCTCACAAGACTCATCTGAAGGTCCCGGTACCAGTTGTAAAAATTAATGGAAGTACAGTATATATGGAGACTGTTTAATGCCAAAAATATGGGGTTAAATAAATGTAAAAATAAAACTAAAAAAAACTTTCCTGATCTTTCTTCTGTCTCTCAGATATAGGAGAGACACTTCAGAACAAACTTCATTTTGATATTTTTTTGGGACAATCTGTTGTTCCATGTAGTGAATCTGTTATTCAATGCGTTTGTATGGGCTAATAGCAGTAAGGCCCAAAATAATTATTAATCAAATCATATTTTACATATTTTTGGGGGATACTTCAAGGGGTCTTAAAACTCAAAATCAAATAGCTAAATTATCCTTGGTATGACCTTCTTAAAACAATTCCATATAGCTTAGTAGAACCACCCCCCCTCCCCCAGCTTAGACAGGGCTTAGTCTCTGATGGGTTAAAGGTAGACTTGGTAATATGTATATAAACAACAATAATAAGCTCAAACTTTGGGGAGGGAGGAGGGGAGACAGAAAGAGAGCGAGAAAGAGAGATGAGAAATGACTTGCGTACCTCGTGCCTCTTCTGCCTCTACGGTAGCTGTGTAAGCGTGAGTAGTAGAGCCATGCCAAAAACATACAGAGAGAGAGTTAACATTACCAACAGAACCAGATCAGTGAGTAATCAATGCATTCAGTGTGTTAAACATCATCTATAGTCAGTGAATTATGTTATCAATGCATTCAGAGTGTTAAACATAATCTATAGTGAGTTACACTACATGGCCAAAGGTATGTGGACACCTCTTCAAATTTGTAGATTCGGCTATTTCAGCCACACCCTTTGCTGACAATTGTATAAAATTGAGCACACCGCCATGCAATCTCCATAGACAAACACTGCCAGTAGAATGGCCCGTATTGAAGAGCTTAGTGACTTTCATCGTGGCACAGTCATAGGATGCCACCTTTCCAACAAGTCAGTTTGTCAAATTTCTGCCCTGCTAGAGCTGCCCCGGTCAACTGTAAGTGCTGTTATTGTGAAGTGGAAACGTCTAGGAGCAACAACAGCTCAGACGCGAAGTGGTAGGCCACACAAGCTTACAGAACGGGTCCACCAAGTGCTGAAGCGTGTAAAAATCGTCTGTCCTCGGTTGCAACACTCACTACAGAGTTCCAAACTGCCTCTGGAAGCAACGTCAGTACAAGAACTGTTCATTGGGAGCTTCATGAAATGGGTTTCCATGGCCGAGCAGCTGCACACAAGCCTAAGATCACCATGTGCAATGCCAAGCGTGGGTTGGAGTGGTGTAAAGCTTGCCGCCATTGTACTCTGGAGCAGTGGAAACGCGTTCTCTGGAGTGATGAATCACGCTTCACCATCTGGCAGTCCGACGGACGAATCTGGGTTTGGCAGATGCCAGGAGAACGCTACCTACCCGAATGCATAGTGCCAACTGTAAAGTTTGGTGGAGGAGGAATAATGGTCTGGGGCTGTTTTCCATGGTTCGGGCTAGGCCCCTTAGTTCCAGTGAATGGAAATCTTAACGCTACAGCATACAAAAATCAAAACAAATCTATATGATTCTGTGCTTCCAAATTTGTGGCAACAGTTTGGGGAAGGCCCGTTCCTGTTTCAGCATGACAATGCCCCCATGCACAAAGCGAGGTCCATACAGAAATGGTTTGTCCAGATCGGTGTGGAAGAACTTGACTGGCCTGCACAGAACCCTGACCTCAACCACATCAAACACCTTTGGGATGAATTGGAACACCGACTGCGAGTCAGACCTAATCGCCCATCATCAGTGCACGACCTCATTAATGCTGTTGTGGCTGAATGGAAGCATGTCCCCGCAGCAATGTTCCAACATCTAGTGGAAAGCCTTTCCAGAAGAGTGGAGACTGTTATAGCAGAAAAGGGGGGACCAACTCCATATTAATGCCCATGATTTTGGAATGAGATGTTCGACGAGCAAGTGTCCACATAATGGCCATGTAGTGTATGTTATCAATACATTTAGAGTGTTAAACATCATCTATAGTCAGTGAGTTATGTTATCAATACATTTAGAGTGTTAAACATAATCTATAGTCAGTGAGTTATGTTATCAATGCAGTCAGTCAGTCAAAGATCATTCAACCCCATCCCCAACCTCCCCCAGCCCTCTCCCCTCTCAACCCCGACACAGGAGTAACAGGATTTACACATGACCATCCCAGTCACAGTGGTTAGTGCAGAAGGAGTGCAGGAATGTTCTGGGTTTAAGAGCTTGATCGAGGTTTAAAGATAACTTTGTAGGTTAAAGGAGAATGTGGATTAGGGATAGGTGTGTGTGTGAGTGAGTGAGAGGTAGTGTGTGTTCTGTGAGAGGGAGGGAGAGAGCGATTTAGTAGTGTGGGTGTATGAGTGTGTGTGTGAGTCAGAGAGAACGAGAGAGGGGGGGTGTGAGGAGGGTTTAGTCGGTTTGAGTGCAGGCAAAGGAGAAAACATGATGCCATAGTAATTCAGGTTAGAGTGTGTGAGTGTAGGTGTATGTTTGTATACGTACCGCTCTCCAGGGTCTGCCGTCCTCCAGACAGAACTCCCACAGGCAAGGCCCCAGTGGGGGTCAGCCCCTTCAGCTGTAACACACTCTCATTCTCCTCTCTGTCAACACACACAAATTCCATTTTCAAATTCAAAAGCATGGTTGTTACAAGGGAGGCGCCATACAAAGATTGAAAGCTGAACATAACCACGGCCAGATAGAATCTGTATGCAGGCCTTCTTATCAATACCTTTACAGAGGTTGATTACATCATCAATAAAGCCGTAGAGTCAAACACACACAAACACGTACCGGAGTACAGAAAAGACACGGGCCATTTTCCCGATCGCTCGGATCTTATTCCTGATCACCTCCTTCCTCACAGCAGAAGTTCCAGCTGAGAGAGAGACAGAGAGAGGGATGGAGAGAGAGAGAGAGAGGGGGAAGAGGTAAGGGACTGGTGAACTAAACTACCCTTCATAGTCATACGCACACCACGACACACACGCACACACTGGCAGTGTTCGAGAGCATCAAAACGCATGGGTAAATTGTGACGACTGATCTATAAATATTATTGAGTAGTTATTTATGATGCAAGATGATATGTAGATCAGTCAGTCAGTCTCGACTCACCTTTAAAGTCGGCCGCAATGTCGAACATGCGTGCACCCGCACAAACACGCACACAGCTCAGCTGATACTCAGCTGGCATGTGGCATCAATAGAAACTTTGATAAATTTCTGTTGTTGCACAATATCTTAAGAATGAATAGTGTTTATAGGGCGACTGCACTTCCTGATTTGGCCTCATTTTAGATTTGGTTCATTAAGAAATGCTAGTGGCCATGACTGAATTAAAACGGGAGTTGGTTTCGGGGTGTGGTTTGACGTGGGCGTTTCATGTGTACGTTCGCAGGTGGGAAAAGTTAGCCAAATTATTTTGCCAATTAGCTTCAGCAGGCTGGTGTGCGACCGTGGCAAAGCTGGTTTGATTTTGGATAGCCTACAGTGCCTTCAGGAAGTGTTCACACCCCTTGACTTTTCCCACATTTTGTTGTTACTGCCTGAATTTAAAATGGATTACATTTTTATGTTTTGTCACTGGCCTACACACACACACACAATACCCCATAATGTTAAAGTAGAATTATGTTTTTCAAAATGTTTACAAATTAATAAGAAATGAAAAGCTAAAATGTCTTGAGTCAATTAGTATTCAACCCCTTTGTTGTGGAAAGCCTAAATAAAAAGTTCAGGAGTACAAAATGTGATTAACAAGTCACATAATAAGGTGCATGAACTCACTCTGTGTGCAATAGTGTTTAACATGATTTTTGAATGACTACCTTGTCTCTGTACCCCACACATACAATTATCTGTAAGGTCCCTCAGTCGAGCAGTGAATTTCAAACACAGATTCAACCACAAAGACCAGCGAGGTTTGCCAATGCCTCACAAAGAAGGGTACCTATTGGTAGATGGGTAAAAAAAAAAAAAAGAAGACTGAATATCACTTTGAGCATAGTGAAGCTATTAATTACACTTTGTACAGCCTTCATTCTTAGTAGTGAGCATTTTAATTCGTTGTCATGTCAAACACTGTATTAAAAGTGCTCACTATTATATTCTAACTATAGAATTAGAATAATAATTATATTTCCATGATTCCAATAGTTCACCCAAGTGTTTTGCTCTAAATCGCAAGTCAAATCGCAATTGCAACATTTGGTAAAAAATAAGGCCTAGATTGTTTGCCCATATCGTGCATCCCTACGTAGCAATGTGGAAATGATCTCAAATGAGTGCAGGAAATGCAGAAATATATGAAAATGCTGAATTGAACAGCATAAAACAATCATAATGTAGAAAGACCCATTGAAATCACTTAGAATATATGTGTTGCCACCCTAGGGTCACTAACTACTTATGTTTTTTTTTAAACGTTTATTTTATATTTTTGTAATATCGCCCAGCCCTAAACCTATCCACGCATTTCAAGGCTGCGTTGAGCTAATGACTTATCAGTGACCCTGAATGTCTCTGTCAATCCTGTTAGCACTGAGGCGGTTTGTCCTAGTAGGAAGTCCACTGTGTGCAGCTCACCCTGCACCATCAGCTCAAACATAAATATCAGTCATGTCTACCTATAATAAGCCTCTCAGTAAAGCAATAAAAACAATCAAGAAACCCAGAAAAGTGCTAAAAATAGCCCACATTAACATACATTATGTAAGAAACAAGGTTCATGAAATCGATAACTTGCTAGTAACAGATAATATTCATATACTGACTATCTCTGAAACTCACTTAGATAATACCTTTGATGATACAGTAGTAGCAATACATGGTTTCAACATCTTCAGAAAAGGCAGGAATGCCAATGGTGGAGGTGTTGCCGTGTATGTTCAGAGTCATATTCCTGTAAAGCTTAGAGACGATCTCATGTCAAATGCTAATATGGCTACAGGTTCACGTGCCTCACCTAAAGCCCATTCTTGTGGGACGCTGCTATAGACCCCCAACTGCTAACAGTCAGTATCTGGATAATATGTGTGAAATGTTTGATAATGTATGTGATATCAACAGAGAGGTATTTTCTGGGTGACCTAAATATTGACTGGCTTTCATCAAGCTGCCCACTCAAGAAAAAGCTTCAAACTGTAACCAGTGCATGCAACCTGGTTCAGGTTCAGTCAACCTACCAGGCTATTTACAAACAGCACAGGAATGAAATCATGCACATGTATTGATCACATCTTTACTAATGCTGCAGAAATCTGTTTAAAGCAGTATCCAAATCCATCAGATGTAGTGATCACAATATAGTAGCCATACCTAGGAAAACCGAAGTTCCAAAGGCTGGGCCTAATATAGTGTATAAGAGGTCATACAAGACATTTTGTAGTGATTCCTATGTTGAAGATGTAAAGAATATTAGCTGGTCTGTGGTGTGTAATGAGGAGCAACCTGACGCTACACTTGACACATTTATGAATTTGCTTATTCCAGTTAGTAAATAAGCATGCACCCATTAAGAAAATGACTGTAAAAATGGTTTAATCCCCATGGCTTGATGAGGAATTGAAAAATTGTATGGTTGAGAGGGATGAGGCAAAAGGAACGGCAAATAAGTCTGGCTGCACAGCCGATTGGCAAACATACTGTACATTGAGAAATCATGTGACTAAACTGAACAAAAAGAAGAAACTTTACTTTGAAACAAAGATAAATTATATAAAGAATGATAGTAAAAAGCTTTGGAGCACCTTATATGACATTTTGGGCAAAAAGGCAAACTCGGCACCATCATTCATTGAATCAGATGGCTCATTCATCACAAAACCCACTGATATTGCCAACTACTTTAATGATTTTTTTCATTGGCAAGGTTAGCAAACTTAGGCATGACATGCCAATAACACATTCTGAACCTACACATCCATGCATAACTGACCAAAGTATGAAAGACAAGCATTGTAATTTTAAATTCCGTAAAGTAAGTGTGGAAGAGGTGAAAAAAATATTTTTGTCTATCAACAATGACAAGCCATCGGGGTCTGACAACTTGGATGGAAAATGACTGAGGATGATAGTGGACGATATTGCCACTCCTAATTGCAATCTCTTCAATCTAAGCCTACAGGAAAGTGTGTGCATACAGGAAAGTGTGTGCCCTCAGGCCTGGAGGGAAGCAAAAGTCACAGTAAATAGATTAATAGATTTTCAGCATGCTTATAGGGAAGGGCATTCAACATGTACGGCACTTACACAAATGACTGATGATTGGCTGAGAGAAATTGATAATACAAAATATTGTGGGAGCTGTTTTGTTAGACTTCAGTGCAGCTTGACAATATCGATCATAATCTGCTGCTGGAAAAAAAACTTGTGTTATGGCTTTACATCCCCTGCTATATTGTGAATTGCAAGTTATCTGTCTAACAGAACACAAAGGGTGTTCTTTAAAGGAAGCCTCGCCAACATAATCTATGTAGAGTCAGGCATTTCCCTGGGCAGCTGTCTAGGCCCCTTACTTTTTTCAATCTTTACTAATGACGTGCCACTGGCTCTGAGTAAAGCATGTGTGTCTATGTATGCTGATATGTATGCTGATGACTCAACACTATACTTGCTACCACAGCAAGTGAAATCACTGCAACACTTAACAAAGAGCTGCAGTCAGTTTCAGAAAAGGAGTCCTAAATATTTCAAAACTAAAAGCATTGTATTTGGGACAAATCATTTACTAAACTCTAAACCTCAACTAAGTCTTGTAATGAATAATGTGGAAATTGAGCAAGTTGAGGAGACTAAACTGCTTGGAGTAACCCTGGAATGTAAACTGTCTTGGTCAAAACACATTGATGCAACAGTAGCTAAGATGGGGAGAGGTCTGTCCATAATAAAGCACTGCTCTGCCTTCCTAACAACAAGGCAGGTCTTACATGCCCTAGTTTTGTCACACCTGGATTAATGTCCAGTCGTGTGGTCAGTTGTCACAAAGAGGAATTTAGGAAAATTACAATTGGCCCAGATAAGGGCAGCACGGCTGGCCCTTAAATGTACACGGAGAGCTAACATTAATAATATGCATGTCAATCTCTCCTGGCTCAAAGTAGAGGAGAGATTGACTTCATCATTACTTGTATTTGTGAGAGGTATTGACATGTAGAATGCACCGAGCTGTCCATTTAAACTACTAGCACACAGCACGGCCACCCATGCATACCCCACAAGACATGCTACGAGGCGCACAGTACTACATAGAGCCATGACTACATGGAACTCTATTCCACATCAAGTAACTCATGCAAGCAGTAAAATTAGATTTAAAAAAAACAAACAGATAAAAATACACCTTATGGAACAGCGCAGTGTGAAGAGACACACACACGATAACATACGAACTATACACATCGATTTTGTGTTGTATATACAGTGAGGGAAAAAAGTATTTGATCCCCTGCTGATTTTGTACGTTTGCCCACTGACAAAGAAATGATCAGTCTATAATTTTAATGGTAGGTTTATTTGAACAGTGAGAGACAGAATAACAACAAAAATATCCAGAAAAACTAATGTCAAAAATTTTATAAATTGATTTGCATTTTAATGATGGAAATAAGTATTTGACCCCCTCTCAATCAGAAAGATTTCTGGCTCCCAGGTGTCTTTTATACAGGTAACGAGCTGAGATTAGGAGCACACTCTTAAAGAGAGTGCTCCTAATCTCAGTTTGTTACCTGTATAAAAGACAACTGTCCAAAGAAGCAATCTATCAATCAGATTCCAAACTCTCCACCATGGCCAAGACCAAAGAGCTCTCCAAGGATGTCAGGGACAAGATTGTAGACCTACACAAGGCTGGAATGGCCTACAAGACCATCGCCAAGCAGCTTGGTGAGAAGGTGACAACAGTTGGTGCGATTATTCGCAAATGGAAGAAACACAAAATAACTGTCAATCTCCCTCGGCCTGGGGCTCCATGCAAGATCTCACCTCGTGGAGTTGCAATGATCATGAGAACGGTGAGGAATCAGCCCAGAACTACAAGGGAGGATCTTGTCAATGAAAACAATTGGTAACACACTACGCCGTGAAGGACTGAAATCCTGCAGCGCCCGCAAGGTCCCCCTGCTCAAGAAAGCACAAATACATGCCCGTCAGAAAGTTTGCCAATGAACATCTGAATGATTCAGAGGAAAACTGGGTGAAAGTGTTGTGGTCAGATGAGACCAAAATGGAGCTCTTTGGCATCAACTCAACTCGCCGTGTTTGGAGGAGGAGGAATGCTGCCTATGACTCCAAGAACACCATCCCCACCGTCAAACATGGAGGTGGAAACATTATGCTTTGGGGGTGTTTTTCTGCTAAGGGGACAGGACAACTTTACCGCATCAAAGGGACGATGGATGGGGCCATGTACCGTCAAATCTTGGGTGAGAACCTCCTTCCCTCAGCCAGGGCATTGAAAATGGGTCGTGGATGGGTATTCCAGCATGACAATGACCCAAAACACACGGCCAAGGCAACAAAGGAGTGGCTCAAGAAGAAGCACATTAAGGTCCTGGAGTGGCCTAGCCAGTCTCCAGACCTTAATCCCATAGAAAATCTGTGGAGGGAGCTGAAGGTTCGAGTTGCCAAACGTCAGCCTCGAAACCTTAATGACTTGGAGATCTGCAAAGAGGAGTGGGACAAAATCCCTCCTGAGATGTGTGCAAACCTGGTGGCCAACTACAAGAAACGTCTGACCTCTGTGATTGCCAACAAGGGTTTTGCCACCAAGTACTAAGTCATGTTTTGCAGAGGGGTCAAATACTTATTTCCCTCATTAAAATGCAAATCAATTTATAACATTTTTGACATGCGTTTTTCTGGATTTTTTTGTTGTTATTCTGTCTCTCACTGTTCAAATAAACCTACCATTAAAATAATAGACTGCCCACTGACAGAGAAATGATCAAACGTACAAAATCTGCAGGGGATCAAATACTTTTTTCCCTCACTGTATGTGGTAGTAGAGTAGTGGCCTGAGGGCATACACTTAATGTGTTGTGAAATATGTTGTGTAATGTATTGTAATGTTTTTAAAATTGTATAACTGCCTTAATTTTGCTGTACCCCAGGAAGAGTAGCTGCAATGGGGATCCATAATAAATACAAATACAAATACTGAAACCCTGGTTCAGTCTGCTTTCCACCAGACACTGGGAGATGAATTCACCTTTCAGCAGGACAATAACCTAAAACACAAGGCCAAATCTACACTGGAGTGGCTTACCAAGAAGAAAGTGAATGTTCCTGAGTGGCAGAGTTACAGTTTTGACTTATATCTACTTGGAATTATATGGCAAGTGTGTAAATGGGTGAAATGTTTTATTTGATTTTATTCAGGCTGTAACACAACAAAATGTGGAATAAGTCAACAGTTATGAATACTTTCTGAAGGCACTACATCTCCGGGGCTAGTTAGGGACCGTCAATAGATTACACAATGTAAATGAGACAATATTTTCACGTTGGAACACCTTTCAGTTCTCATTAAATGCTTTCAAAATGTGTATATGAATTTCTAAAATATATAGTTGGTTTGAGGTTTTTAAGTCATTGTGTAATTTACCGATGGTCCCTAGGCTAAATTTACCACAGGCATTACGATAGGGTCGCGTGCAGCTGCACTCCGAATTGATCATTACTTGTGTGCTGCCAGCTGGGGGCATATGGCCAGGGTTGAAACAAACCCAACTTTCATTTATCTTGTGATACTGTCACGTCCACAAATCTCACAACACTCCGTTTTGGACGAGACTGACTTTATGACCAACATTTTCCTATTTACACTTTGTAGTCAATTCTGACAGTAGAATAAATGTTTCTGACTCATATCAACATCACATAGGACGTTTTCTAAATGAGAAGTTGGTTTTTAGGGGCAGTTGCTCGTTAAAAGCAGACCTTCAGTCTCAAACTTACAATGCTTGTAACCAGAGGAAGAGGCGAAGCGAGAGGTTTCACTCTCGCCAAAATCTGTCCAAAATAAGCCTAATTCGTTTCTATGGGCTTATCTTGGACATAAGCTTGTCGCCTGCCTTCCCGCCTTTGAGACAACGACTCAAGGGCAGAGTCATGAGCATCTCGTCAATTTTAGGGATGTGCACGGTTCTTTGAATATTTGAACGGATGCTAGTATTCGAATACTTGTGTGAGTATACATTTTAGCAAGAAAAAAAATGATAGGCCTATTTAAACACTGAAAATAATTTTTCTAATAAAAATGTTAATATTCATGTGACATAGTACATGAAAAAATTTAGTTTTTACAATGTGCACGGTGCGCCCCATAAAAAGACTGATGACCGGTAGCCTTCACGTATGTAGCTTGTTTTTGTTGGCCAATCAAGGGGGCAAAGAGGCTCAATGTGTAGCAAGTGGAGTGAGAGTTTACTAATGCAATGCAATGCAAGATGGAATAGAATTACAGAATTAAAAGTTACAGAAATTAGAAGGAGTAGGCTACAACAAGCAACCAACAGGTAGGCTGTTGTTTTATCTGATTGGGGTTGGGGAGAAAGTGCAGCATGTGGCCTCAATTAGCCTAGCTAACTAGCTGAGCTAGCTTCTCTAGGCTACTCCAGCCAAGACAGGCACTGTTAAATGGGATTATAAATTACATTGTGGCTGCTACAAGTTAGCTAGTCTAGGCTGTAGCAGAGTTGCGCTCTCGCTTTCTCTCTCATAAGCTACAAACCGGCCCAGCTGCAGCGCGCTAGCCTTTATCCCTCGGCAGCAGAGCTCAGGTTAAAAACGTACGTTTAAAAGAGTCACATGTATTTCGAATATCCGGCAAAAAATGAATGATTCTATTCCAATAGTGAAATGATTTAAAACCCCCATCCCTAGTCATTATATACAGATCTTTATTTTAACTACCCTAGATCTGTCTATTTACCTTCACATCTATTGTTGCTCTGTGATGAGCAATAATGCACTTCAGTCAAAAACAACTTAACTTCCTTAAGTTTCAGTTCCTCTTTGAAGAAACATGTTGCTGCTATATCAGCCTTTCTTCATAATTTACTTACATTGAAAGTCAATATAAAAGAGTTCTTAATAGTGTGTGTGTTTTTTTACCCTCGCAGGTGTCGTCTCCTTCAGACATGAGCTCGTCGTCAGAGCAAATGTTGAGCACGTTAACCAGCATCTCTGTCACTGTAGGAACATACACAAGGTTACCACACACACCATTATTACACACACACCCCATTATCTCACAGGTCAGTTTTGCAAAGGTAACATGGAGCCCAAAGTTATCACATACACACAAAATAATCTCACACACACACACAAGGTTTTCACACACACTGACCTTTCTCGCCTACGAAGGGCAGGGACCAGGTGAAGACGTCCATGAAGTTGGGCAGCCAGTAGGGGTGGGGGGAGCAGTTGAACTGGCGGATGTTCATCACATTGTTCTCATATTTCAGCACCGCCGCTACAAGGACACACACATTATCCATCTACCCTGTGTTGCCATCGTTTCTACTCTGTTGTCATGGTTTCTACCCTGTTATCATGGCTTCTACTGTGTTGTCATGGTTTCTACCATGTTGTCATGGTTTCTACCCTTTTGTCATGGTTTCTACCCTTTTGTCATGGTTTGAAATGGAGTGTGGACTTGGTCATTTGTTTACCTTTGTTGTTGTACACGTCCAGGTAATTCGGAGCAGAGAAGATCGTGATCAGAGAAGGAAAACCTGTCGTCTGGCTTTTCCTGTACATTCTATACCTGAAATACACATTCAACAGGAAATATAAAGTTTATATCACAAAACAGTATTATATTACTACTACTACTACTACTACTAATAATAATAATAATAATATTATAATTAATTCATTAATATTATGGATAATACTCACCCAGCGTCCTGGGCTTCATGTGCTCTTATTACTGACAACAGATTATTGTTCATCAGAAAGTCACATACTGCTGGGTAACTGTAGAAGTAGGAGCAGCCTCTAACAGAGTTATGAGCAAAGTGTTCCTGGGACTTCTCAGAGCCGTAGTCTTCTCCAGGGTCCGACCACAGCAGGTCACACATGGGTCCGAACGCAGGGGGCTCCTTAAACCGATCCAGCTGGTCAACACAGAGTTAAACAAAGTTTATCTACAGGGTTAATCCAGTTAAACACAGTTAAATAACACAGGGGGATCATTAGACCATTCAAAACACTTAATAACATAGCCAGCTAAACCAATTAAAATGATTAAGACAGAGTTAGACAGAGTTAACCCAGAGCAGGCCAGGAGTTAGAGGTCAGGGGTCATACCTTGCGTATGTCGTCCAGGCAGGTGATTTCGGGGCTCAGGCCTCCGTGGACACATAGGAACTGCTGGTTGAGGAGCGCAGCCAAGGGAAGGCAGTCAAACGCCTCCATACACGCATCATACACACTCTCAGAGTACTTTATCTTACCTACAACACAACAAAGAGGACATTATTACTATTACACCCATGCCCCCAACCACACAGGCGCACACACACACACAGAACCACCCACAACAGGCGCACACACACTAAATACACAAGGACCACTCACACTCCTGTTTAAAGGTGAAGTACTCTGTGAGATGTCGGCACTCATGGTTTCCTCTGAGTAGGAACAGAGTGGTGGGGTGGTTGATCTTCAGAGTCCACAGGAACAACACACACTGAAGATAGAAAGAGTGTGTGTGAGATCCCTCTCATTATGCTAACGTTAGTATCATAATAAGAATCATAGCTATATTGCTAACGATTGCATAATAAGAATCATAGCTATATTGCTAACGATTGCTATGATTCCTATCGTAATGCTAAGTTGCTAACATTAGCTATGATTCCTATCATTATGCTAATGTTAACCATGATTCCTATCATGATGCTACCGTTAGCTATGATTCCTATCATGATGCTAACGTTAGATATGATCACCACAGTTAGGATAAAGGCCAACTTTCCCTACATTTTCCTCCACGTGGGCCAGCCCCCTAGAAGTTAGAGTTCTAGACAACGAGCTTCAGTTCCTCGCCATTTGAGTGACAGCTAGCAAGATGCACACAGAGCAGAACGAAAGAGAGCGCAATGACGTGGTGCGCATATCTTTACATACAGTATGTGACGTAGCACGCAATTTTCAGGGACCACTTGTCTCTAAAGCGCTACTTTCAGAACTACTAGCTTAAAGGATTACAAAAGTACCCGAGTATCTCTTTAATTCATTAGAATACATGCTATTTACAGCCTTCCCACAATATGTTTTAAAGTGGGACACAAAACCCAACAGTGTGTGTTAGGTTGGGGAGGGTAGTGTGTGTTTGTGTTTGTCTGTGTGGGGGAGGGCGGTGGTACTAGCTAGTGTGCTTCCTGTCTATTTAAAGACATGCTCCTAAGCCCTGCGACTCAAGGCTGTGTAACAGGCCACGACTCTAAATGTCAGATGAAACAGCAGATGCTGAAACACAAACTGACCTCGATGCTGAAGTATCCTCGATCGACATAGTCCCCCAGGAACAGGTAGCGGGTGCTGCTGGGCGAGCCGCCCACCTCAAACAGCTTCATCAGGTCAAAGAACTGGCCATGGACATCCCCACACACTGCAACAGACACACACGTTAGAGGTCAGTCTGTCGGAAGATGTTAGGGGTTAATTAGAGGTTAGGGGTTACCTGTAATAGGTGCTTCCACCTCCAGCATGCATTTCTCTTGTCGCAGGATGTTGGCTCCATCAGTGATGATGCGTAGAGCTGCTTCCTCCTCCAGGCGGCCCTCCTTAACCAGATGGCTCTTCAGCACTTCAACACTGGGCTTCCCGTCTACATACAAGTCCTTTACAGTCAGCCTTGAGCCAGGGGGGTAGGGCACCGCTACAACACAATACAACAACATTAACATACAGAACACACACTACTAACACTAACTAGCTAACTACTGTAACTAATTGGTGCACCCTCTAGCATCTATTGGTCAATTGACCTCAGGACCCCCTCCATCCACCCTCTAATGTATCTATTGGTCTATTGAACCCCAGGACACACCCTCTGGAGATCTCAGGGTGCCCATCCTTTCACATGAAGATGTTTTGGCTCTAGAGAAAGACAGAGAGCGTTTATGATTGTGTTGCATGGCTGAGTGAGTGGGTAAGAATAGAGCTTTGCATTTGCATTAGGACTGGTAGAAATGAGGAAGCTCAGGTTTGACTGGCAAATAACCATCTCTATCTGTCTATCTCTTCTGTCTGTCTCCGGGCTATATTAAGGTGTTAAATCCTAGCCACATGAATAATCTACCATTCATTCATTCACTAGAACCCAGTCTTTTATGTTACCGTTGGCGTGGCACCAGGTATTGCATCCATAATTTCCGCTATGAAAATAGCAAACTATAATATTTATTCCCTTCGGCCCAGTGATCTAGTTAGTGTAAAACTTCAAAAACAGAAGCAGGTCACACAGACAGACTGAGCAATCATGTCATACTAAACTAGTTCATCATATCTAACCCATACACCACATACTCTACACTGGTTCATCAAATCCAGAGTGACTCCACACTAACACACTAGTCCCGGGCAGAGCTACTATACATGATAGGGCCCAGGGCAGAACTCCGTGTCAGGGCCCAGGGCAGAACTCCGTGTCAGGGCCCAGGGCAGAACTCCGTGTCAGGGCCCATATCCATACATACATGTATGAAGACAGCGTCATTACACAGGCAGAGCAATGCAGCTGGCTGGCCTGATCAGGTTACCATCGGTAAATAAACCAAAAGGTCAAAACGTCAACCCTCACACACCTCTGACCAAAACTGATTATTGATCGCAGCCAATTATTTTAAAATGTCTGTCACTAATCAAAATATTAGCATGAGAGATGCCAACTTACTATTTTATTTTCCGTGCTATAAAATATATTTAAAACTACTGGTAACATCATCAGATTAAGCACATTTTGATTTACACAAGTGAATCAAGTATGTGTTTATCATTATTTTATTATTTTTTTTACATGTAATTGAAATTGTACTATGACAGCTAAAAGCTGAATTAGAGTAGACTAACACATACAAGAAACATTTCAATTAATAAGATGAAATACAACAAAATCAAAACATAAGGGGTTTGAATGGAGGTAGAACGTTCTGAGCGGTGGAGGGAGGGGGGAACATCTTGGTCACATTCACAGCCAGGGAGGTCAGTGGTCATATCAGAGTCATGCCATAGACCTATGTATGAGTGTGTGAGGGCTAGCAATGTGATCGTGTGTGTAGCCTAGAGCTGTCTGTAGGATGATGGTTAGCCTGGCAGCGTCTGAGAGATGCAGGTATAATGACCTCATCAGCTTTATGCTCCTAAGCGCCACTTACCCATTGAGCCTATCACTCACTCACACACTCTTTGGGTCCACAACAAAGGACATTGTCATAAAGCCAGAGGTCACAGTTGTTGGAGCTCCTCAGTCCACTACTTACTCCTCATCACTCCCTGTGGCCTAACCCCAAGTCCATGAGTCCTGTTGTTATTTTCATAATATAGATCAAGGTTACAATTAGGGTTAGATCATGCTACACACAGTACCTGCTACCATCCATAAATATACCTGCTACAGCTGAGACAGAGCATTATCTATGCACTGTTAGGCCTGCCATCTGCATGCTGTACCATTCAAGTCCATTACAAATAGAAGCAGATACTTCAAAAGCAAATGTTGCAATTTGATAGCAATTCCACCCCCCCTAATAGGCCGCCCAGGCTGTAAATCAAAAGACCCGCTCCATGGCACTCAATCCACTGACAGTCATTCAGCATATGCTGCAGGAACCCTGTGTGTTTGTGTGTGTAGACCATCACGCACACACACCTCACCGGTCTACTGAACCAGACATACATCAAACAGACAGACACTTGCGAGAACACACACACGCTTCCTCCAGTTCAGTCAGATACAACAAAAATATAATCAAGCTAGGACTAGGAGGCTCAAAAACATTTGACTACCTAGTTTGTTACTCCAAGATTGGTGGCCAAATTAAGTTATTTGGTGTCAAATATTTACTAGCTAGCTGCTTGACATTATATCATAACATGACATGTCCTCTTACTATTACTGCAGGCTAACAAACTAGCAAGGGATGCTAGGAAATAAACAGATGCCATATTATCCCACTTGCTCCAACCAAGCCAAATACAGTGAACAACAATGATCTAACTAACTAGTAAGCACGAAGCATATTTTCCTTACTGGTGCATCGACTACAGCCAAGCTAGCTAGCTAAATTAGTTAGCTTGATTGCTAGTTAACTAGCTAGCTGTATTAATCGTGTAGATAGCTAGCTAGCCAACGTTAAATTCCCTGCAACCACTTGCTGAATTAAAAGAGATACGATTGCATGCATACCTTTAATGGGCCGCTCCGTGGTGGACAGTTTGATTGGCGTTTGGTCTTTCGTCACCGACATCTCGGCGTATCTGCCCCAGCAGGAAACAGCTAGCTAATGGTGTGAATTCCTCGGCGTAGCTAGCAGGCTAGCTGGTGAAATGAGCTAGCCGTGCTGCTAGCTAGCTAGCTCGAACAGCACCTCCGGATCCGCAGCCTTCCTCTACGGCAGCGGGCTAGCAGACTGGGGCAGTGCAGATCAACTAGGCAGGAGCGTAATTTAGTTAGCTAGCTATATATGTGGCGGGGGGAGGGAAAGGGGAAGATCACTTTAACCACTAAATTAAAGCTTTTTTCCTGCCTTGTCTCTCTGCCCTGCGCTGCGGAGGTAGCTACTAGTCAGATGCTGTCAATTTCTGTCAGATGAATCGACCGCTCCAGTCCAGGAAACGATTTCCAACCAATCTCACTGTCAGCCAATTTGCTCAGGTTTACACACCGCGCATCAGTTCATGTCTTAATTTCATCTGTTTGTTCTTGGCTGTACCTCATTTGGTCCAGGCCTCTAGGTTTGGGTTTCAGTCGTGATCAAATGTATCGTCCAGACTCTGCTGTCGGATTACTGTAATCCACCACAAACGGATTTCCTACAACATGGCTGTGTCTGTCTAACGCATGGTGTTGTGGGTAGTGTAGTATTATTGTCATGCCGGGACACACCTATGGGACACACCTATGGGACACACCTATGGGACACACCTATGGGACACACCTATGGGACACACCTATGGGACACACCTATGGGACACACCTATCTGCATGTAGGCCGCCCACACACACACACACACACACACACTGGTTTTCCTTCAATACCAACATATTATTGTTTACTTGAGGTCAAGTTTCTTGAAAATTTACCTTCGTGCACGCTGTTAAGGTTGTTTGGACATTTTGCTCTGATGGTATGTATACACTCTTTTTTATGCATGGGGTGGACATGCTATTGGAGACTATATGTTTTTGGACATACCGTACCTACATACCTAACCTGCTGTGTCACTGTCCCTTCACCTCTTTTCTTCACCAGACAATTCACCTCTCAGAACAGTTGTGTTTTAGTGAATATACTCCTCGAACACTAGATGTCGCTAGCCACTAGTGATGTAGGCTACAGTACAATTACATTTACCTGACTCATAATAATAATAATATGATAATATGCCATTTAGCAGACGCTTTTATCCAAAGCGACTTACAGTCATGTGTGCATACATTTTTACGTATGGGTGGTCCCGGGGATCGAACCCACTACCCTGGCATTACAAGCGTCATAATCTACCAATTGAGCTACAGAGGACCACATGCAAGAAACTGCTCTCTAGTGTCAGTTTTTTACTATTTAAAAACACATTTAAATCCACCCTGCCCCTAGAAAGAGAAAAACGACATGTATGATGTTGATTGAAGTCTTTATTGTATTGGCTCAAATTACACATAGAGGTCCCAAGTGATCGGCCCCAGGCGCTGCACAGCTCATGAGACCTCCACATGACCATGAGTAGGCCTATTACTCTCCCCTCAGCGGGTTAGCTTGGGCAGACTGATGACAATGGGGGGCAGAGTGTAGGCACTGAAGAGAGGGTTGTTTATACTAGGGTTCAAGCCGTAGTTATACATGTTGAACATGTTGTAAGGGTTGTAGTAGTTGGGGTATGTGTTTTGGGGGTCGTAGGGGTTGTTGAAGACAGTCCCTGGTCTGGGCACAGGGAAGTAGATGGTCTGGGTGGTAGCTGTAGTGCCAGGGGTTTGGGCCAATGGAGCTCCAATAAGGGTCGGACTCTGGGAGAGAAGCCATCATCAACGATATGATAAATAAATAATGAGCAAGACTTTTCCCAACACCCCCTCCTCCTAAAATATAATACAACTACTCCACTTTGGCCATGTAACTATAGAAATGCTTTACAGTATGAAGAAGAAGACATGGCAATGTTCTCTTACCTCAACATGTCCACTCTTTTCAGGTTCTTGTTGATCCACCTATAATATTATAAACAGAATATGTATTTTATACACTTGTGTCCCCTGGTATCAGACAGATAGCAATACTCAAGTGATTAGTTATTAGTCAGAATCCATTAGATTTACTAGAGCAGCAAGACATATACTGAGAAGACCCAGCACCAAAGCTAGTGTCCTCATGTTGTTTCTTCAGTGAGTTTGTTCTGTGAGAAGCACAATGACATACAGACTTACTGACAATGATCTGTTGTTGATTACTATACACCTTTACGATTTTGTGAGAAGTATATATGAAAAGTAATTTATAGAGAAGATAGGGTATCTTACCTCTGCTGGATAAGTTAGCTGCATAATTACCTGGATATCAACAACAGTATGTTTGAGTCTTCTCAACATAAGTCAATATAAATGCTTCAGTGGCACAATAACATCCAATCAGCTGCGACCCCAACCTCATCAGGAATGATGGTTTCACTAACCACAGCACAACAGTGTGATGAAACACTAAACCGATCGATGTAATAAACAAAAGACAAATAAAGTGTACACATAAAGTATAATATCTTCTCCTCACAGCTTAATGATTTGAGGTTATTGTTTGTAATCCTGTCATTACCAAAATATTGAATCTCAGTATGGAGTTAATATGGGCTACAGTTGTTCCTCTATATCAGTGGTTCCCAACCTTTTTCGGTTACTGTACCACCAAGTACATTTTGCTCTGCCCAGAGTACCCCTGAAGTACCCCCTCATGTGCATTTGACCAGGAAGCCTATGGTCTCATGAGTCTTCTCAAGGAGCCCCTGTGGATAGGCCAAGTACTCCCAAGGGTCCTAGTACCCCTGGTTGGGAAACACTGCTCTATTGGGAATCCAATGGTGTCTACTCTATAGGATTAGCTAAATATTTTTAGCATAAAGCACTTGGTAAAAGATTATGAGGGCTTTGAGGGGTATGATTAGAGGTTCGATAAAAGCAGAATAGTATACTTGTACTATATTGAAAAATAGAAACCACTATGAAATCCACCAACATGATCCAATCCAAATGTCAACATTTATAATGAAACATATAAAGCCGCTACCTAGACATTATGAAAGTGAGGTGGACTTCAAACCAACCTCATTTATTTTTTCCACAATCCCACATTACAATTGAACCCACCAGAATCAAGTCTAGACTTTACCATCACAGCATTGCTCCACCCTTTCTATGATACGCTCACCTCAGAAAATACATCAATACTGTGTGTTATTACATGTCCTACACTATTGGAAACCCCCCAAAAAACAATTAACATTTCAAAAACATGAATCAAGGGGAGACATCTTTAATTTCATAATAACTGATCAGTGACTCATATTGAATTAAACGATGGTGGGACTTTGTTTTTGTGGTGAAACTAATTAAACAGATAACAGGGCAGTGATCTGATTGAATAGCTCAGAATAGGTGAACCATTTATATAAGCCCACTAAGATGTCAAATTGGAACTTCAAGTTGTAGGATACACAGTCATCTAACGGTAAGCTTGGATTCATACTCTTTGAACATTTTGTAGATTAACTTTATTCATTGTAAATGGCATGTCAGGTAATTCTGTCAGGTAATTGTGATAGGTGAGTTGAAGGAGTCAGGCGCAGGAGGGTAAATCACAGAATAACAGGATTTATTCCGGAAAACAGAGTTACGCAGTAATGCGTCAAAACAGTCCAGTGCGCAAAACAGGCGCACTGGAACCAATGAGGCACACGGGAAATTAACTATACGATACAAAATACAAGGAGCTCCACCGAGATACACGATCCTCACAATAAACAATCACACACAAAGACAAGGGGGCAGAGGGAACACTTATACGGGTACTAATGAGGAGATATGAACCAGGTGTGTGTAATGAACAAGACAAAACCAATGGAATGATGAAATGAGGAGCGGCAGTGGCTAGAAGGCCAGTGACGACGAACGCCGAAGCCTGCCCGAACAAGGAGAGGTGGCAGCTTCGGAGGGAGTCGTGACAGTACCCCCACCCCCTTGACGAGCAGCTCCAGCAGCGCGCCAACACCTGCCTCGGGGACGGCAAGGAGGACGTGGAGCAGGGCGAGACGGATGGCGACGGTGGAAATCCCGCAATAGGGAGGGATCGAGGATATCCCTCACCGGAACCCAGCACCACTCTTCCGGACCGTACCCCTCCCACTCCATGAGGTACTGAAGGGCCCCCACCCAACGCCTCGAATTCAGGATGGAAAGGACAGAGTATGTTGGGGCCCACTCGATGTCCAGAGGGGGCGGAGTAACCTCCCACACCTCAGACTCCTGGAGCGGACCAGCCACCACCGGCCTGAGGAGAGACACATGAAATGAGGGGTTAATACGATAATCTGGAGGGAGTAATAACCTATATGTCACCTCGTTTATCCTCCTGAGGACTGAACGGCCCCACAAACCACGGGCTCAGCTTCCGGCAGGGCAGGCGGAGGGGCAGATTCCGGGTCGAGAGCCAGACCTGATCACCTGATACCAAGACCGTGGCCTCACTGCGGTGGCGGTCAGCTTTGGCCTTCTGGCGACGCACGGCGCACTCGAGTTGGACGTGAGCAGCGTTCCACATCTCCTTCGCGCACCGAAACCAGTCATCCACCGCAGGAGCTTCGGTCTGGCTCTGATGTCACGGTGCCAGAACCGGCTGATAACCTAAAACACATTGAAAGGGCGATAGGTTAGTGCAGGAGTGGCGAAGAGAGTTCTGAGCATATTCTGCCCATGGCAAGAACACTGACCACTCCCCCGGCCGGTCCTGGCAGTAGGACTGCAGGAACCTACTCACATCCTGATTCACCCGTTCCACCTGCCCATTACTCTCGGGGTGAAAACCAGAGGTCAGGCTGACCGAGACCCCCAAACGTTCCATGAACGCCTTCCAGACCCTGGATGTAAACTGGGGACCCCGGTCAGACACTATGTCCTCTGGCACCCCGTAGTGCCGGAAGACATGAGTAAACAGGGCCTCCGCAGTCTGCAGGGCCATGGGGAGACTGGACAGAGGAAGGAGGCGGCAGGTTTTTGAAAAGCGGTCCACAACGACCAGGATGGTGGTGTTACCCTGAGAGAGGGGAAGATCAGTGAGAAAGTCAATACACAGGTGGGACCATGGCCATTGTGGAACTGGTAAGGGCTGTAACTTACCCTCTGGGAGGTGCCTAGGTGCCTTACTCTGGGCGCACACCGAGCAGGAGGAGACATACACCCTCACGTCCTTAGCCAAGGTAGGCCACCAGTACTTTCCGGTCAGGCAGCGCACTGTACGCTGGAGGGGGACATGTGTGCCCAATAGATCAGACGGTCACAGACAAGAGACGGCACGTACTGCAGCCCAGCGGGACACTGAGGTGGAGATGGATCTGTGCGTAACACCCGCTCTATGTCCGTGTCCATCGCCCATACTACCGGCGCCACAATACAGGAGGCCGGGAGTATGGGGGTGTTGTCTATGGGCCTCTCCTCTGTGTCGTACAGCCGTGACAGTGTGTCTGCCTTCACGTTCTTCGTACCCGGGATGTATGATAGAGTAAAACCAAACCGGGTGAAGAATAGGGCCCACCTGGCCTTGCGAGGGTTCAGCCTCCTCGCTGCCTTAGCAACACTCTT